AGATGGATTTTAAACAGCAAACATTGTTTCATAGTTGGAAATACTGTTGTATGTGTAGATTACATTTCTTAAAGTTTTTACATGGAAAATGAAGGAGTTTCATTGCATTGTTGTGTGTAAGACAGCACAACACTCTGTTGGGTGCTCTCGAAACCAATCAGAAAGATCATTCTGGTGACAGGGAGCTTGAAGCTAGTGCTTTTCTTATTTACCAACTTGCCAAGCAAATGATTCTTCAGATCTAAACAGGACGAAAGGTTAGGATGGGAAAGAAGTGTTTTGTATGTTCAAGCTTTGTTGGTGTTTTCCAGGTAGTGATTTCTGTCAGGGTTGTTACTGTTTCTGTAGGAGCAGAAGTGCAAGTCTGGGGATCACTGCTTACTTCCAGCTGGAGCAATTTCCCATTTACCTTGATAAACCTTTCCCTGCAGTTCCAGATTGAAAGCTGTATACTTCCTCAATCATACTTCTAGATTGTTGCCTGGCATGGCTCTGTGACACTAAAAAATGGCCATGCTTAACCCCAGTGGTGGGTGAACTTAAGCCCAGTGCTGAGCTATTTACGTGTCCTCTGTGGGAGGGCAAAGAACAGTGTTTACATTCTGTTTCTAGCCCACCGTGCAGCAGGGAGGTGAGTGAGGTCTGAATCCCCTGCTCCATTACCCTCCAAAATTGTATGTGTTCCAACTCTGTGCAGCTGTATGCAGCCAGCTCTGCCACCCGCTTTCCAGGCGCGCTCCTCCTCCAGCCCCAGTCAAGCAGCTCCACTCCATCTGGAGTTCTTCTTGCCAGAGCTTGCCTAGGTACACATGGATGATTTCTAGCCTGTCTGCCCAAGTGAGTGTCAAGAATAAAAACCAAACAGCGCGACTTGTGGTGTAACTGGAGGAGGATGTTCTTTGCTAAGTGTGCTTGGTTTTTTGTAAGCACTCCGTTTTTTCTAAGTTCAGAGTGGGTATCAGACTGCTTTTGTGGACCAGGAGTATCAAAGCTTATTGCCGCTCCTGCCTTGTCCTCAGTTCCCCTGGGCTGGTCAGTCGTGCAGCACAGTTGTAGTCAGAGCTGCATGGGCTCAGTAATGTAGCTGAGATTTCTTTTGTGACTGTTACAACCTTTGTGATGACATGCAAGTCCAGCTGATCAGTTTGGTATCACTGAACATCTTTATTACTCTTTTCATCCTTCTTGAGCATAATTCTGACTAGATGCAGTTGATGATAATTTCTGTGTCATTAGGTGGGAAACCAGTATATAATATTAAACATCTGTAAGGATGTTATTTATTAGGATGAAGTAACGTTAGGGTTCTAGGCTTTTCTTCCTGCAACTAAATACTAGAGTCAAAATGCCTCAAATGCCCCATAAGTAGGAAGTGAACACCTTTTTTTTACTCTGTATGGTTCCTTCTTTATGAACTGGTGTTTTTTAAACTTATTTCAGGAACATAGGAAAAGGCACTGTAGCTTGTAACTCTCTTGTCAAATTCTACCTGTTTAAAACTACTGCAAGAACCTGTAAACGTATGGTATATTTTTAATTCTTTTCACAGCTTGTACCTCCATTTAAGCCACAAGTTACATCTGAAACAGATACGAGATACTTTGATGAAGAATTTACAGCACAGATGATAACAATCACTCCTCCTGACCAAGGTAAAGTTTTCCGGAATGTTTCCCACTGTATTCTCTAGACCACCAGAAAGCATATGCTGTAATGTCACCTTGAGGTTACTCTTCAGACCGTGTGAAAAAGCATTAGTTTGAACTTGCTGGTTTTCCATACGTGCATCTGACCATGAAGTTGGTAAATTGATGTGAAACTTTCCATGTGTCTTTTCAGTTGGGAAATGAAAAACCTCTTTTAGAAGACAGTGACATTATTTGTACTGCTGTCTTTTCCAAATCTGCACATTCCCATTGGAAAACAATTCTTTTCACGAGTTTTGCACGTGTACATCTCTGCACATGCACTGTCTATGCAAGCAGTCGATTGGATATGGACCAGTGTCCATATTGAATCAAAGTACCCTTTATTATCATGGCAACTGAGCATGCTCTGAAATAGAAATTACTGGAAATTCAGATCACTGAGTATGGATTTAAGTAATGCAGCTCCTAGCAGTTCTGAATGCACATCCGAATAACTGTTTATGTACAACAACCAGGATCTTCTCTGATGCCCCTATTCAGTGGGATGAGATTTAAGACTTCTGTTTCTTTGTCCGTTCAAGTTATGAAAGAAAAAGACAGTGAAATTTTCAGAAATAACCTTTACCATGCATTATCTTGCTCTTTGTTTCCTTAAAATAGAGAGCAGGAAGCAAATGTTGTCTCCTCTTCATTTTTCAGATGACAGCATGGATTGTGTAGATAACGAGAGAAGACCTCATTTTCCTCAGTTCTCCTATTCAGCCAGTGGAACCGCTTAATGTTTTGCAATGTTTTCCCATTCAGAAACAAAACAGACTGCATTTTGGGGACCGTACTTCAATGGACACTAGAGAACTTTCTATATTATCTGAATTACAAACTGTGTTTGTATTACGATTTAGATGAATTTGTAGGAAGCCTCACAGATCCTGTATTTAAAACGATTCTTTGATGCATTTTTTGAGAAGGAAAACAAATCCATTCTTAAAGTATTACGTCAAGGCTTTTATGCTGAATGACTATAGGTTTTTAAGAATATACACCAAAACTGTTTACTTTAGAAATAATTAAGGTATTCAACATATCAGCAACTCTGACCAGAAAATCCCCACTTTATTTATTTCATACAGTTCATTATCTAAATATAGAATCTGCACTCTGAACAATTAGATTTATATAGGAAGATATAAGACTTTAGTAGCTAGTGCAATAATATAAGCAACAAAGTGAACAAACTCTGGAGGGTTAAGGTTCAAACTCATTTTGGACAGCAGTGAAAATGTCATCCAACTCCAGAAAACCAACTTTAGGAACAGCATTAATGGCCTCAGTGAGGTAAATCAAAAAGCAAAAGTTATTTTTGTTATAACATCTGCTACAAGACATTACATATCAAACTGAATCCAGTGGAATTGCCATGTAGTACAGCTGAGTATTCCATTTTAGACAGTGCGTTTATTCCATTTGCATAGTGTTTAGGAATACTTTGTAGGATTGGCTTCTCAGATCCTAGAAAACACTTGATTTACCAATATAATATGAAATGCAACAATGCAAAATCACCCACTTTCACAACTGTATAAAAATGCTACCCAGGTCTCAGTGAGAAATCATCTTAACCAGTGAGTCAGGCAGGCAAAAGGACATTTTGGCACTGAAGTAATGACTTGTTGCCACTTTTTTTTTTTTTAATGAAAAGATATATGAATATATATAACGACTTAATGATTTTTTGCATCATGCCAGATCATTTCTTCTTTCTTGAGTGTGCATTAAAGGTATCAGCCGACAGTTCATGGTACCTTCTCACTCTTGAAGATTCACTTTAACAGTGTTTCCCATGTATAAGAAAAAAACTAGGTTGAAACTTCATATGTGTTTGAATAATAATGGTGTTCAAAAAGTTACTTTTTTTTGGTTTTGTTTTTCATTTTTAATCTTAGTGGAAATTCCCCACACCCTATTTTTGTTGTATCATGTTTCTTTGTAATTTTCATAAAAGCAGTCTTACTCTGCCTCTGCTGTGAATGAATTTATTCCATTGTAGGTTGCGTTCTCTTAACTTACCTTTTCTTTTTCATTCTCTTGCGTGTATAAAAATGATGACATGTACTGCAGTTAACTAGCATTTAATTTTTTTACCTGAAAGGGAGTATGTTATGAAACCCCTCGCTTCCCCTTTCCATCAGAAACTGCTATGTTTGCACAGAGAGCCCATTACCTTGACTCCTTTTTTTTTAATAACATTCAACTCTAGTATTTTTACTCATGATTCCCTCCAAATACTTAAATAAAAATTGCTTTAACAAGTTAGGTTCTTATTTCTTGTGGTAGGAGCCTTCTGAATCTGTGGAAATGCAAGAACTGCTCCAGTTTCTTGAGTTTGATGTGCCTGTCACTGAGGGATTTTTTGGAGGGATTTAGGCTTTTCTGCCCCTCCTCCGTTTTTTCATCTCAGTGCTGATCATTATGCAAAGATAACTTTGGAAATTGTTTGTTAAAAGAAGTACAGCCTGTACCAGAAGTAGTTTTGTCTTGAGGTGAATGAGGACAGGCCTCATTTTGCTGCCCCCTGATGCCAGTGAGATTGTGTTACTCAGGCCCTATCTTCAAAGTATTTCTATTCCAGTCTTTTGGGCCAGTGTACAATATATAATACTGTGCTTCCTTTCTAGGGACTAGTATGAATTGATTCTAGGAGGTAGTTATACAAGGCTGGAATGTCTTTTTTCGAACAAGGATACAGAGAAGGATAAAAAAGCACCCAAGAACAACTGCAGTGTGCTTCAAACTAAGCACAGATGTTGCAACACTATTAAGCCATTAAACATCCAAAACATTTTTTTGGTTCAGGGAATATGCTGTAATTCCAAGTACAATTTACTGCACATTTATGCCAGGAAGGTCAAAGAAGGGATCTGTGTCTCTGTATGATGCTGAACAGCCTGTCCCATTCTGCAGGTCTGACCTCCTAACTGCACTGCTTCATTTGCTTCCAAGCCTTCATCTGACTTTCCAGCCAGCCCAGGGATGAAGTCCAAAGAGCTCTTCTTCAGATCTACATGCCCTGACAAGTTCTGAACTAAGACACTTCATGCATCCAAATATAGGCAACATGAGTGAGCAAAGGTTACCATTAATCTGCTCCAGGAAAATCTGGTCTTTCAAACGCGGGAAGAGACATAGATCGGATTGTTCTGTTCAGACTGATTATGTCTCAGAACAGTGTTTTTCTGCCAGTTGTTGCTAATGGATTTTTAATTCCCACATATAAAATGGAACTTCACAAAAAAAATGCAGCTGTCAAGAAGTCTGGGAATCGCAAGAAGTCTGGGAATCGTAGTATTGACAGCAAGAGAGCTGTAAGGGCACACCTGAATGCAGGGTCTTCAGGTCTTCTGGATATTTTCCCCCATTTTGCCTGTAACTGGTCAAAAGGCTCTGCCTGTTGTCTATAATTGAATGATTACTGGTGTTACAGCTCCTACCTGCAGGCATAAAACTTGTTCTTTAGATTTGGCACAGAAACGTTAATCCAAAAGTCAGTGACCTGAGTGGTGTTCACTTCAGATTGTTTTTTGTACCATATATGCTGCTTAAATCTTTCAGCTTCTTCAGCTCCTTTATTTGAAAACCCAAAACCTTTCTAACTATCTGTAGAGCCAGAACCTCCTCATTCTTTCTTTTGGCACTGAAAAATGTCACCTTGCTCTGGCATTTGAACATTGCAGCAAAGATGGTGTTCACTGTGAGGTGTCCCTGCCCATGGCAGGGGGGTTGGAACTAGATGATCTTAAGGTCCTTTCCAACCCTAACTATTCTATGATTCTATTCTGTGATTCTGTGATTCTGTGGTGCCCAAGTGTAGAACACTGGTAGTACACATATGGTGCAGCCCAGGAACTTGGTTGTAAGCTTGGACTGAGAGAAAAATAGGAAAAAAAAGAAAAAGCCACCTTTGCAAGAGCAAATAAATACAAAGAGTTCTCCATGTGCCTCTGACTTCATTCAGAAGATGAGGTCAGCTAAGCACTGGCTGAAACAGGCATACGCTGCTGCTTGTGCTGTATGGTGTTAAGAGACATTGGCAGAAGGCAGGTAATTCTGCAAATTCCATTTTACATTCTGTCTGTTACTGAAACATCTAGTACAATCCCATTAGGATATGGCAGGCTGTTCTCCCTACCATGGATTATAGCATTCCTAACTGCACAAACTTGACCTCTCACCTCCCACAATAAACTGTTCTTTCTTCATTTTACCCTCTGTGGCATCACGCCTCAGGCAGGTGACTTCCATGTGCTCTCCAGCTGCTATACTGCTCTCATGCAGGCCTTGAAAATCTCAGCTGCTGTTTGTATTCTTTCCCAGTTTTCCTCTGAGAAACAAATGACAGTAGTTTCTGGAGGTTTGAGGGCAACATCTTCCTGTGATTGTTTGATTTATATGATCTTTGCTTCAAGTGGGGTCAATTTTTGTCTGCTACTTTGATTGCTTATGTGCATTTAAATGCTCAGTATGAGAGCACTGTATTCTTCGTACTCCTACTTGTGTTTTTTTTTAAATCTTTGTCAGAGAATATACCCTTTGCTTTTTAGAGCACCTATGCTAAGTCAGATTTTTATTTCCAGGAACAGGATTTAGGATAGTGGTCCCAACTGGAGGTCACAGCCAGTATTGGGAATGCAAACTCCAAGGAGATGGAGTTGCGGAAGAGAAGCCCACACACGTAAAGCACCTGTGGGAGTTGCGTGGGTTTCTGCCTGAGAACTTTGGGAAATGATAATTCAGGAGGAAGGTTTGATTTATTTCGCTGTATCTAAAAGCTTCAGAGGTGAAAGCGCATTCAAAGAAATGGGTGAATGTAAAAGGACCTTGTTTCTTTGGTGTTGCAAATTTGTGTGTTTGTCTTCCACATTGGCTCGTTTTTTTAATAACAGGGAGGTTAATTGCTACTAGAAGTAAAATGAGAAGAACACACAGTGCCTATAGCAAACGGGAGCTTATTATCCCCGATGCAGCTGAGTGTACAGACGTTTGGTAGCTGTCTAATGGAACATATGTTGCATTCTAATCGGGTGATGACTAGTTGCTCTCTGTCTGAAATCATTTTAAACAAAACCACTTTGTTACACTAGTCCCTGTGTGCTACTTCTTTCCCTTTTTTCAATAATTTTAACTTTTGTAACTGCTGGTTGCCATCCTGGGTTGTGAGCATGGTGGGTTCATTCTTGAGGACCAGATCAAGGACTCTGCATGTGAAAACACTACATTCTTCTGTGGTTTTTCAGCAACCTTGTTGGCTGGTTCTCAGCTTCTCCTTCAATGAAGCACGGCTTCATGCGTTTGTCTGCCTGTTACTGCTCACTACCTGTGTCTCTAGAGATGGACTTTCTGAACTTCTTCCCAGGTTTAATGTAACCCCCGTCTATGCTAAGATTCCATTTTTATGATTTTTTTCCACATTGTTTCTTCATGTCTTCAGTCATATACCATAACTACTTGTATTTTGCATCTTTGTCAGGTTTTTGAGTTTATTTCAAGAAGATGACAACACAGGTGGTAGCTGCTGTGTCTCTGAATTCTGGGGGGTCTCTCAAGTTCTGTATGTTTGAAAATAATGCATAATCTTTCACCCAACAGAAGATGTTATAATTGTTTTGAGTACAAGAATGAAAGTTCTTCACAGAAACAGGAGCCACAATTCCTACCCCAAATGTTGTGATCTTTAGTTATTCATAAACTCTACCATATCTATTTCCTTGCCCTATTGTGTTCTTACAGTACTGATGCTGTTAGCCAGAGAACTGTTGTGTAATACTGAGAAAACTTCTGTTGGAACAAAAAATAGTGATTGTGATCTTCAGCAGTGCCTGGGAAATCATTGAAATCAGATTAAAATGATCATAAAATACATGCTGTAAACATTATATTGTTTGGGGAAAAAGCAAGCCCAACAATACTGGTCTTCCTTCATTTTACTGAATTAGAGTGATTGGAACATCCTGGACTCCTCTGGGGAAGTCTTGCTGACCATGCTTGGAGCAGGGGTGCTGGGCTAAACAGTCTCCAGAAACCCAGCAAACCTCAACTCATTTTTGAGTCTACTTAATGATTTATTTAGGTCCTGGACTTCAGAGCAGGAGCTTTAGTGAAGGACATTCTTTGTGGGGGTTTTCTCAGTCATGTCTGGTATGTATTTGTACTTCCAGACTGACACAGCCTGTCTACTACTTTCATACAATCTATGTGACTCAGCACCAGCCTTGCTTTGAGATGCTTCCAGTAGTACAAATCCTGAGGGTTTTTCTCATTTTCTTTTGTCAGTGCCCCTGGTTATCCCAAGTTTACTGCACTTACTGTTGTAAGCAAAGTATGTATCTTTGTTGGACTTGACTTGTACATATTTTATTGCATAGTATTTTTGTAAGTCATTTTCTCCAGGGTATGACGAGTATGTGGTAATCTGGTGTACTGTCACTTACTGGACTGGAGGTTGTCGGTGCATTCCTCTAAAGCAGGAACACCAACACTTGACCTTGAGACATGGGTCCTGGCAGGACCTTAGGTTTCCTCCTGGTGTGATTAGGAGAGAAAACCCTGAGTGATACTTAGTCTTTCAGGACCCAGGATGCAGGTGAAGGATGATGTCTACTTTGCATTAGAATTTGCCCTCTAAAAGGATCCTTTGGCTGTTCCGGAAAGGCTGCAGTAACAGTATCACTCACTGTCAGGCACTTTCATCTCTGCTTGGTTTTGGTGGTTGAAGCTTTTGCTTTCCACAGCGTCATGCCCAAAATAGATTCCTTTAATGTTCTTTTCACCTGTCTGACACAAGTCACTCAGAAGTTGTTTCTCATGCAGACTGGAGCTGCCAGCTCCCTTAAGGTGGCTTGCACCTGGAGCTGCACATCTGTACCCTGAGGATTTGCATATGTTTCCAGTTTGCCAACTCTTAACGCCGGGTTGACTTGGGTGTCCTGACAGAACTGAATCCAGCAGCTTGCCACACGTCAGCTGTGCCTGAGCGAGAGCCTCAGCATGGCTGTGGGCACAGTCTGTGCTGTGGAGGCTCCTTACCATGAAACTGGCTTTTTAATTCAGTGAAGTGCAGCTCTGACTTTCGAGAACTGCAACACCTTTTCCAACACACACAGGCCTGGAGATGATACAGCATTTCAGTGACTTTAGCTAATGAACTTTTCTAATATATTTGATAAATTCCTCCAATGGTTTTTAAAGACTTTATGGATGTGCAGAAAGATAAAAACATAAGCCCTTTAATGACCCTTAATAATGAAAAGTGGAGTGATACTATTTTTAAGATGGTTGCAGCATATAGTAAGCTTTCCATAAAATATGTTCAGCTGCAATTGTTCCTTATTGCAATATTATTAGGGGAAGTGAAACAAAACAGGACAAGAATACCTGTTGACTGTCCAGTCATGAGTATAAAATGAAACTGCAAAAACAAAGTGAACAAGGTCACTTGGTGCAACTGCAGACTGGAAAGTTGCAGAGGAAGGGAACTATAAGCAAGCAAGCAGAACAAAATGTACTTATTTACACAGGTGAGGTTGTCATAAATTTAATGTGTAACTAAGATAAAGGGATTAAACTTAGTACCCCTTTACTTGATTGTAAAACTTGAAATTGTGTTACCTTTCCAAAGTTTTACTTTCTGTGCTCATTTGCTCAGCTGTTAAGCGGAGATCAAAGGTGGCTGCTTGTTGTTTAAAATGGATTGATTGTTTCTAATTCTAGTAAGCAGCTGAGTTGTGATGAGGGTGATGCTTCCTGGGCAGCCCAGTGGTTTTTCAGGTAACACTGAAAAACACCTGTGCTATGTCAGAGCAGGGAGAGGTATCCTGACATAGGATATCACCAATGAAGTTAATGTGTGTGATGCAGTGTTGCCTGGGGTTCTCCTCTACAAAGGAGTCACTTCAACGTGCTTTTCAGATCACTGCTGGCAACTCTGTTTTTATTATCTATCTCTGGGTAACAAAAAAATGCAGGTGCATGTTACAAGAAAGGAAAAGTCAACAAGGATACTTTTGGAATATAAAGAAAGCCCTAGATGTAAATACGCGTATTTTCCTAACGGGTTCAGCTGAATTTTCACAGCACGGAGATGCCTGCGTGCACAGGTCTGAGGAGCATATGATATGGGTGCGCAGGCTGGTGGAGGCCGCGGACACCCGAGGTCTGCTGGAGAGGAAGGCTGTAGCAACACAAAGAAGCTTCCAACTCCCCATCTGGAAAAAGCCCCCACAGGAGCACAGGCAATAGCAATGCCATCTGTCTGTCTTCTGCAGAGCAGATCTCTCCTGGGAGCAGAAAAAAAGCTGGCACATGAAGGTGGGCTTTCACTTCCCTTCTGCATGGAGGTTAGATGCAGATTGATGGATGTTACCTGTAGAGACCAGGCTGCTCTATTCTGTCCCCTCTCCCTTTTTTTTTGAGTCAGTTTTGTCTGAATTCCAGCTCTTTATTTTGCCTTATGACACTCCTTTCCATGTCTCTTCCCAGCAGCCAAGGAACAATGGATACTTTCATCTGCTTCTCCCCTGCTTTCTCTGATTCTTTTTTATGCCACCTTAGCCTGTTTCTGGTCTTCTGTAGTCCCTTCTAGAGGGTGTGTTATAAACTGACATAATATCCCTTACAAATAATTATTTTCTCTTGGGTAGTGTCCTGATGCTGAATGCTCATTGGAGACTTCAGAGAACCAATATACATCGAAGCTCCATTTTAAATAGTGCAGGGAAGCTGCAAGACCCTCTTTCCTGGGTGTCTCAGACAAATGCAAATGTAATGAGCAACAGGAGGTAGGGAAGTCTCCCATCAGCATGCAAATGTCCTGGCTATAGCCTCCAGTAGGGGCCAGAATTGTGCCTGCTGCTGGCCTGGGTGTGGTGGCTGTCCTAGAAGAAATGAAACACTAAAACCAATTGAGTATGTGACTTCAGGGATGGATGGATTATCTGTACTCAATGAGACGTTAGTTCAGATACTAAAGCTCCTTAATGTAGTAAAGCTAGGTGAGTTTAATTTTTTCACCTGATCCAAACCTATAGGATGACTTCACACTGTCTGTATACATTCTCAAGTTTTCTGTATTTTTGCATGAAATGCTGGTCTAACCAAGGGAAACAGCATGAGATTTGAAGTTATTTCCTATTCCTATTTTTAGTATCAATCTGCTGCAGAAGCACAACTAGAAATCACTAGGGTAAGAAGGAGATAACTGCCTAGCACCTTTCATCACACACTCTTATGTCTTTGGCAGAACTTGAGGGGAGCCAGTTGCTTAAAAAAGTCTTGCCAGATGTCTGGCATTTATTTCCATTCCAGGGTATCCCTGAATTTGCATGGTTTTACCAGCTGATAAACATAAGAAACCTGGGGAAAGCAAAACAGACCATTTCTCTGTCCTTTCTCTAAGTTATCTTTTTCATCATGGATTATTAACCTAGCCAGAGTTCTCTATAAAACTACAGTTAAATCCCTGATAAGACTAAAAATTGCTGATGGAAGACGTTTACAAAGTCTTTTCAAAACTCTTAGACAACTCTTTAAAATATGGGGAACTAACACCAACCTTCAGCATCCTCAAGTTCACTACCTCAGCCTGTACATCCCAAGACCTATTTAATCCACTTTTCTAGTGGTGCAGAACACCTGCAGTCCAACTCAACAAAATTGGCTAAACTCCTGGAACACAAGACTTAACCATATCCTTTCCCATCCTACTCCTGCTGAACCACTGAGGCTTTCTACCCCTGGCGCTCATCCCTCGTTATCCCCTGGGTACCCACTCATCTGATTTTCAAAAGAGGAACTGGGGGGGAAGTCCTGCCAGGCAGCTCTATGGAAGTTGCCCAAGAAGTTTCAACACCCTACTCCTGGATGATACCATCCTATCCTACAGTTACCCTGCCTGGCTCCAGCTAGTCTGCAGATGCAGCTTCCAAATACAATGGAGACAATAACACCTCCATATTGCTCCCTTCCCCTTATTTAGGCAGCTAAGTGAAACACAAACATGGACTCCAGAAATTCTTTTGTAATGGCCTTGTGTTGAACACTCAGCCAAAGCAATGGTTATCATTAAATAAGTAATGACAACACCAAAGCATAACATATATTCATATGCAGGACAAGTTCCTCAACTGTGTAGCTCAGTTTGCCCACTGACACTAGGCTGATTTACACCAGTGTAGGGCTTGGTGTTGGTGCAATCAATCAGCTAACTGCTAAAAATCCAACAATGAAGCGACACAGTCGTCTATTCAGTGCTACTGCAGCTTGCTAAAACTCTAAATGAAATGTTCTGTAGAGTGTGCAGAAGAACAGTACATGAACATTGGCACAGGCTGCCCAGAGAAGTGGTGGAGTCCCTGTCCCTGGAGGTATTGAGAATATATGTAGATGTGGTCCTAAGGGACATGGTTCAGTGGTGGACTTGGCAGTGCTGGGTTTACTGTTGGACTCAATGATCTTAAAGATCTTTCCCAACCTAAATGACTCTATGATAGCAAATCTTTCAATAAACGTATAGCATTGTCAAGAGTATATCTGCAGCTGAACAAACCAGACTTAACCAGCTGAAATGAAATACTGCTAAAGATGGGTTTAAATATAGACTGGGTCAAAAGCACTTGAAGGGCAGTTCTACTGCTGTGGCAAACTGACTCTCAGTAATATGAAATGCCATAGGGAATGTGTCAGGATAGTTTGCTACAACAAACACGCACACAAGACAGCCTACTGAATTTTTCTGGTAATTAATGGTAAAAACATGTGCAATCTAGATATTCCAAAAGCTTTCTGCACAGTAATGAAACTTCAGAGTTTCATTAAAATGACATTAAAAAGTATCAAAATAATTATCTTAAATGACATTAAAAT